GATGATGAATTTATAGATTGGTATTGGACATATGGGCTAATATCGGATTTATGGACTTGATCTGGACTGGGCTGGGCTGTTTTCTCACTGTTCAACTGCTCTTATATAAAGCTCTTTCTTATACACATATGAGTGTCTGTGAATTTGTTTCTCTCATCTCCCCGGACTAGCACCCCTATCATGAAACCCTGGGCCGTCATGGTGTATGGTTCCTATCTGCCTTTCCAAACTCATCTCTGCCTGTGCCCCATAGAGCGCAAGGCCCAGACATGCAGAACTGCCACCAATCCCTACCAAACACCATTCCCATCCAGTATGCATTTTTAAATTTGAATTTTATAATTCTGTACTGAGCCCTGGTTACCTAGTGGTTACACCTTGGGCTGCAGTCTACAAGGTTAGCAGTTCGAAACCACCAGCCACTCTGTGGGAGAAAGACTGGGCTATCTACTCCCGTTAACAACCCACAGGGGCAGTTCTATCCTGTCCTGTAGGCTTGCTAATGTATCAGCATTGACTCAATGGCAGTGAGTATACTGGCAACTCAAATGTCATATCCTTCAAGTTGCATAATGATTTTTAGAATTCTTATAATCTGATAATTATCATGAAAATTTCACTGCCCCTAGCCAACCATCCATAATCCTTGTCCATAAATTAGGAGATTCTAGGTGCTTCTGTCTCCTCCTCAAAATCATGATCAGAATTGCATGCAATATTAGCACAAAAAGACTTGCTGCCTTAGCCACTGAAATAAATCATTGGAGCCCCTTTTGGAATGAAGGAGTCACTGGAAATCGCAAAAGGAGAGTGAAAAGAGGGGAAACTGGTAGGGAGTGGAGCAATTTGGAGTGATTCGGCAACAGAACAGATCCGGCCTTTGGAAGGACATTTGGGGCCCATAGAAAAGAAGACACGGAAGAGTCTGAGCCCAGGGTGCCACGAAGATGCCATCAGCAGCGTACACAACATGAAGCAAGTGAAGAGGAGCTTCCTCCTGGCATCACAGGAAGTGACCTCATGGAAATAAAGACTAAAAAAAGAAAAGCCTTCTACTGATCTAGCTAGCTATAAAGCGTGGATAGCTCTGCCTTTTCCCCAAATGCTACATACTGTCAGCACATCTTATTTGAGCAAGTCATTTCTCATGGAGAACATATAGGGTGTGCTTGCTTTTATCACTTTATGTCTGCGTTGTATATGTTTCCACGGGTTAGAATGGGAGGAATGGAATAATTAAATGATAACCATTGTCAAGTAGCTGGGGTCATTTATTTTCACCAGCAATATCTGAGATGAGCTGTTTCCACTGACATTTTTCAATACATTATTATATTTTTTTTCCTATTGGTGAGAAAATGTGATGTCTCAAACGTGAGGATAAAGCAAACTCTTGTTAAGATCAGGTTGAAGTGCTGTATCACAGATATTCTGAAAACCCTTTCTGGTAGTTACATAATCTGGTGTCAACTTGTGAAGGGATGGAGTCTAGCCTGTTAATCAGGTGGCAGCTTGATGACCTCATTTGAAGACACCACAGAGATAAATAGTTCACGGGAGGCCAGATACACACAGACTCTCTGCTTCATCTTCTTGCTGACAAGACATGAAGCTATGCTAGAGCCCTGGAGGTGGAGGAGCCATGTGGAGACCCACACCAGCGCTGAGATGCTTCCACTGCCACTGGATCCAAAAGACTTCCCACCCACTGGCCTGTGATCTTCCTGCCGTCAGCGTCATTGCCTGTGTTTTGTGAGTCTGAAGAGCACTTTAAAGATTGGTATTGGACATAGGGGCTACTATCAGACTTATGGACTTGATCTGGACTAGGCTGGAATGTTTTCTCAATGACCAATTTCTCTTGCATATAAAGCTCTTTCTTATACACATATGAGTGTCTCCCTAGATTTGTTTCTCTAGTCAATCCAGACTAATGCACCCTTAAGCCTCAACATCTTCTTTTTCTATCTTCATCTCTCTAGCCAGTTGCCATGGTGTGGCTTCTGGCTCATAGCAAACCCCTGTGAGTCACAGAACTGTGCTCCATTGGGATTTTAGGGAATGACGTTGGGGAAGTAAATCACCAGGTCTTTCTTTCTTCCAGGGCACCTCTGAGCAGGTTTGAATGTCCAACTTTTAAGTAGCTGCCAATCATTTTACCCACCCAGGGCTTTGTACATCTGTTTCCCCTAATCTGAATGAGAGATCACATGATTCCAATCTAAGTGTTTACACCTTATTGATTTTTGAGACTTTCATGTAAATCACTAAAAGTTATGGCTGCTTCACTGCAGTATTTATTCATAATCAGTCCATGATCATGTAACCAAATCTATAAAATAAGCTATAACTTTTCCCCAGAATTTTACCCTACCTAAAGAGATCTTTAGAAATTATCTCCATCTCTAAAATGGCACCTGCAGTTTCCTTATTATCTTTAAAAATAAATATTCTTTCAAGTTGGAAAAAGCCATTCTTTCATTCATTCTTTCATTCAAAAAGCTATTTCATTCAAATAGCTACTATTTCATCTATTCCTTGGACATCTATTGACAAATGCTCGAGTCTAAACCATCACCCACCCTTATTTCAATCCATGTTACAAAGCAATTCAAGATGTTCTACTCATCTATCAAATAGAAAGTGTTCCTAACTCAATAAATTAACTTGTGAAAGTATACCTTGATGCCCATGAGAATTTAACAGTAAGCTTACAACATCTCTGTTTCCCATCTTAAGACCACCAAGTAAATAAATAATTGTGGGTTTGGTTTCTACCTATACTCTTAGGACCAACCGCAATGGCTCCTGCTTAGAACTTTCTCTAGATGTGTAGCTTTCCTTATTTCAGAATATGTAAAATTTGGTGTCTAGATGTGAGTAAAGATATTACTGTCGTAGTTTGTACTTTCTTCATGCCTTTTCTTGACATCTCACAAATTGGAAAATTAAACAGTAAGATTACATTTATTCATTTTCTACTCTTATCATTTTGAGTCAAAATACATCGAGTAATTCAACATCATCCAGTTAAATAACTGCTCGTCATAATAGGCATGAAAAAAATTGTTGTTCTCTGGTTTCCAAAAATTTCTATATGTTTTGTTTGGCTTTTGGTTCGTTCATAATGGAGTATATCCCAGAGATGTTATATCAGTGGTGGTCACCCTCTCAAAGCTGCGTTATAGGCTTTTGTATTTCTCGGTATATGAACCCTAGGATCAATGAACCTAGAGGGATGGACAGCAAGCGGAATAAGGGGTTCAGGGTGAGGGAGGAACAGTGGCAGAGTGTGACGATGTCAAGGTGTCCATGCAGAAAAAGGATGTGTGGAAACTGATTGTGGTAGCAATTGTACAATTCTACTTGATGTGATTGAAATGTGCAATGATATGTTACAGGTATCAAATCCCAACTAATTTTAAAAAGTGTTTTTTAAGTTCTAGAGGACATGGAGATTGGGGAAATTTTTTTCTGGCTCATATTTATTTTAATGGTTTTATTGATAGAAAATTCACGTATCACACCCTTCCATAGTTAAATCGCTTTTTAAAAGAGTTGTATACACATCATCACAATCAGTTCTAGTGCTCCCTCCCCCCTCCCGCATTCATTGTTTGCTCCCCAATTCCCCTTCCCCTCCCTACCCCCCTGGGTAAAATTTTAATGTGGACCATAAATTGCATAATAATATTGCTCTGACTGTTAAATTTCCTTGATGTGGTGATGGTATTATAAATTAGAAGACTACCCTTATTCATAGGCAATAAATGTATCTATTGGATGACAAGTGTCCTTTAGTCAATACACTCTCAAACAACTCAAGTGGGTAAAAACGTGAGAGAGAAAGTAGTAAATGTGGCAAAATAATAACAATGGATTAATCTGCATATTAGAAATATGGGGTTTCGTTGTATTGTTCTTTCAAATTTTATGTAAATTTGAGTGATTTTCCAAATGAAAATGGGTAGGAAGGATGTAGCTACAACTTATATTTAAAGAAAACACATTTAAAATCTAGTGTATTTGTTAAGTGCCCAGATGGACAAAATCTTGTCCATCTAAAAGTATCATTATGCCCATGATTGGAAATGTCTCAATGACTAAAATATAATTGTACACCCACAAAATTACCATGATTATTATATGAATGTTTAACAGCACTTTCAAATACTCATCACTTCTGTGAGAGACTCAGAAACACAATCTTCTCAAACTGATTTGTGCAAGCAATGTGATAAAAATATTCATGTAAATATTTTGAGCAAAGCAGGCCTATATTCAAGCATGGGTAGATAATGCAAAAGAAAATGAAGGTTTGAAATCCAAAGAGAATTCCAACAATAACTCATCCCGGTGAGATTTAAAAAGCATCGTCACTATAGCTCACATTCGCTTTGAAGAGAGCCTGCCCTAAAGAACAGGACTTACCACAAGCTGGCTGAACTCATTGAGAGTCAAGTCCAAAAGAGACTGATTGTGATTGTTATCTCCAAAACACCATCAGTATCATCAGTATAACTGAATTCAAGATCTGTGTGTTGTCCCAGCTAACTTCTGCTTAGATTTTCAGGCTTTTAAAAATGCAGAAATCTTAATTTGCTCTGTAAACTTTCACCCCCAACCACAATAAAACGCTATAAAAATAGTAAAGAAAGCTCTATTGCTAAATCTGGTTAGTAACTAGTGAAAGAGGACTGAATAAATTACACAAGAAAATTTTGATCTGATTAGGGCAAATTTTCTATTAAATTTTTCGATTAAAAACAATACTTTAGAAAATATCTAAATGTGACCCAAGAGAAAGGGGTTTGGTTTGAGTTCTCTCTCATCATCCAACTCCACTGATGCCTTGACTTGGCCCCTCTCGCCTCTAATTGGGTGAGCTACAAAAGCATTTTAAACATCCTAAGATTGGCTCTGCATTCTGGCAATAAAGGGCTAAGAATCTGCGAGAGGATAAAGGACCGAAAATGTTAGCATAGCCTCCATGTTCTTACCTTCACTTGCCAATCTGCTCCTCTAGCCCCACAGAACCACAGCAATGGAGCATACAGAGTTGAACAAGTCAGCCTGTGTTCTTTCCAGAAATGCCCCGCAAGTCTTCCGTGAGTCCACGTTTCTTTCGCAAGTGGAGACCAAGAAACTAAGCCGCTAGCCGCATTGTCCTTTCTTTTCCTATTGATCCCATAGATGGTGAGGGTTGGATGTTGTTTTCGCTCAAGTCTAATTTGTGCTAAAGGAGCAATGGGAAGTCCCAGAAAGAGCGGAGGGGGGGGGGGGCAGTAACTGACAAAGTCACAGTGAGCCGCAGAATGGCGTTTCTTCCCCTTTTCAGAAAAATGAAACCTATCGATGAAACTGTCTCTTGTTAAAATAGCTTATCACAGCACACTGTGCAAGAACCCTCATCAGCAAAATTCAGTTTCCTCCTATCAATGACAAACTCTCTGGGACTGCTCTCCCAAAAGGGAGGCGAAGTCAGATACAGCTACAGATAATCCACAATCACTCTATTGATCTATAATTTGTCATAAATATGAGTTCTCACTCACACATGTAATTTTTTAAATGCAGACAATAATATGCTGTGAAGAGAAATAGGCACTCCCAGACACCACCAGTCAGGTCAGTTTCTCAGGACCTCTCCTCGGGTTTAGTATTTATATTCCTTTTCACCCAGCGGCTTTGTTTCTAGTGATGTCTTTGTACCTGTGCACAAACTCACTGCCAGTGAGTCGATTCCCACTCGTAGCGACACTAGAGAACGGGGGAGAACTGTCCCTGTGGGTTTCTGAGACTAATTATTCACAGGAGTAGAGTCACAAGCCTCGGTTTTTGTCCTTGGAGAACTGGTGGTTTCAAACTGCTCGACTTACAGTTAGCAGCCCAGTGCATAACCACTCCGCCACCAGGGCTCCAACCTGTGCACAAAGACTTGGGAAAAGATATTCATTACAACCTCTCTTAAGATAGCAAACAGCTGGTGGAAAATGCCTTAGATAAGACATTGGTTAAATAAATAGGAACGTAACCCTTTAAGTGCTTGGCTGCTAACCCAAAGTATGACAGTTTGAACCCACCCAGTGTCCCTGAGGAGAAAAGACCTGGCGAATGATCAGCCCCCATAAAAGGGCACAGATTATAAAACCCTATGGGGTAATTGTATTCTGTCATATTGTGTTAGTATGAGTCGAAAATAGACCTAACAACAACACTAGTTATGAGACAGAATTGACTTTATATCCAAGATATGTTTTTCAGAAAGATTTTATAATATGCTCCCATTTTCTTAGACATAGAAAAGTTACTATCTTTTGAGAATGAAACTTAGCTCTTCTTGGCCAAAAGCATAAAATATGCAGGGTTATTTCAAATCATTTACCTTTGAAATGTTCTACTTTGTGTATGTATTGCTTTTTCAGTTCAAAATTTCAAAAGCATTAGTGATGAAGTAGTAAAAATGTTGCCTGCCAATCAGGAGACCTGAGCTCAATTTCTAACCAATGCATTCATGCTCAGCCACCACCCATCGGCCACTGGTTTGTGAGTTTCTATGATGCCAAAGAGGTTTCAGTGAAGCTTCTAGACTCTAAGATGGGTGCGGAAGAAAGGCCTGGTTATCAGCTTCTGAAAATGAGTCTATCAAAACCCTTTCAATGGCACGGGACTGGGCACTGTTTTCCTCTATTGTGCATAGGGTAGTCATGCATCAGCAACAGTCTAAAGGCAGATATAATGTTGCAGCCTAAATGCATTATAAGCTCTGTCTTTCCTAACCTTGATGGCTCCAAGTAAGCCAACAGAGAAAAGGCCTGCCCGAGTGATAACTACTTCCATGGGGTTTCTCACCTCTGATCTAAGCTCCAAATGCTGAATGGGTGAACCTTAGTGAGTGGACTGCTTTGCTCATCTTTGATCTGTTCCTTATGAAAATCTTTGAAGGTGTACTGGCATTTTCCTTTCTGCTGAGGAGTCTCCCATGGCTTTCTGTATTTCTTCACGAAACATTACTCAGGTACAGTGGAAAAGGCAAGTTCCCAACATTGGAGCCACAACAGATACAGTTTTGCAACTGGCACCAAGGTTGACTCCATTACCAGAACCTACTCTACCCCTCTTACAGTTCTGGCTCAGTGTAACTCTGTCCAATCAGGCCTGGATGACTCCATGGAATATGGATGTTACCAGGAAGTCGTAGTGCCTTCAAGGCCAAACATTGTTTTATTTTCTTCTAATGTAAGCTAAAGGCATTGCTGCTTTTATGGTAGAATTATCAACCTCCTTACAGGAGACTCTCACTCACTCAATTCCCATTCAATGCACCTTATGCACAGCCCATACGCATCAATCAGTGGAGGCTGGTATGTTGAATCGGCTTCAGCAGAACTTCCAGACGAAGATGGACTAGAAAGAAAAGCCCAGTGATATATTTCCAAAAATCAGAGAACAAACCCCCTATTCATCACCCTAGCCCAATCTGCCACAGATCATGGGGACGGTGGAGGACTGGGCAGCGTTTAATTTGACTGTGCATGGGGTGCCCATGATTCAGAAGCTGACTATATGGATGATGTTCAGCCACAACCAAATATACCAAAGCACACTAGAAATATTGTTCTTGGGTGCAGTCAAGACCATTTTACACGCATTGCAATCCCTACTTACTGAGTAGAACTACCCCATAGGGTTTTCTGGGCTGTAATCCTTTGTGAGAGCAGATCACCAGGTCTTTCATCACCCATGAGGTCTATGGGTGGGTTTGAATATCTAACTTTTCAGTTAGCAGCAGAGCATTTAACTGTGGTATCACCAGGGCTCCTGATACTAGATATGCTGTGTGTGTGTGTGTGTGTGTGTGTATCCCATTGCTGTCAGTCAATTCTGACTCATAGCGACTCTGTAGAACAGGGTAAAACTTCCTCATATGATTTCCTAGGCCTTTCAGTGAGCAGCCAAGAATTTAACCACTGAGCCACTAGGGATCTTTCATATGTATGCATATGCACGTGTATATATCTGCCAGTATATATGTAATAGTTATGCACATAGTATGCTGAGATATGCTAGAAGTGAACCCTACCCTCTCCAGATCAATTCTCTGGTGAATTCCCTAACAATCCACTTGGCAGTGCAGTGCAAAACCATGTGATTCCACCTGCTCTTAATTGGTTTACTCTCTCATTGATCATCTCTTTAATGCAATATGAAAAATCTTAATTATGATAACTTTTGATGCTGTCTCCTAAGCATAATCACCCTTTCCAGAAAATATTTTCTGTAATCAAAAAGTTGGCATTATGTCCCATTAGCTCACCATTTCTCTTTTGGTAAAACCTGAACATGGCATACGTTTTAAATTGCTTTCTCTTTGCTAACTATTATGGAGTTATATCCTTTGGAGCTGAAACCTTGTAATATTTTTTTCTATCAATTTGCTGAATGGCAGGTAAAAAGTTATTTCCTTGATTTCTGATGGCTAGTAACTCTGTTACTCAGCTACCTACCTCTCCTACTACAAAACCCTCCTCTTAGCCACTCCCATCGGAATATCATCCATACATAGTTGGCATGTGCTGGGCTGCTAACTGCAAGGTCAGCAGTTCAAAACCACCAGCAGCTCCTCAGGAGAAAGACTAGGCTTTTTAGTCCTGTAAAGAGTTACCATCTGGGAAACTCACAGGGGCAGTTCTACCCTGTACTATAAGATCACTATGATTGGCATGGACTTGATGGCAGTGAGGTGGGGTTTTGGGGGGAGTTTTTTTGTTTGTTTTTTGTTTTAGTCTCACTTCAAAGCTATCTTATTGTGGTTGCATGCCATTGAATCAATTTTAACTCACGGTGACCCTATAGGAAAGAAAAGAACTGCTTCATATCATCTGCTAGGTCCTGGTCTTGGCAGGAGGAGACCGCCATGTCTTTTCTCCAGCTGAGCGACTGGTGCATTTGAGCCACAAACCTATCTGTTAGCCATGGTGCACTTAACTATTTTGCTAATATAGCTCTTTGTGCTTTTACTGAAAACCACCACTGCTACTGAGTCAATAGAAACCCTATATAGGGTTCCCAAGATCTTTAAATATAAATCTTCACAGGAACTGACAGTTTCATCATTCTTCCACAAAATATCTGGTGGGTTTGAACCACCAACCCTGAGCTTAGTTGCCCAATGCCTAACCTACAGTGCCACAAAGGCATTCTCTAATTCCTCAATAGCATATCTTTCTGTCACACTTTATATGCCACTTTCCAGTTCCAGATAAAGCTGGTGAATTGTCTTTCTCATAACTGGGTGAGCTAGTTAAGGTTTATTGTGCCAACCTAGCCAATAAACACATGTGGGTGTAATCGAAAGGCGGAGAGATAAATACCTCAGTGACCCTTGCCTTTTAGTTCTCGGGTCTCTTGCTTTCTGATGGTCAGACCTGGGTGCAGCTGTGTTAGCCAGTTCTCTGCTTCAGCTGGCAAGGCTCACTTCTGCAAGACATCCCTGAGGAGAAGCCACATGGACCTACCCTGATGCAGCCCTGGGTGCTGGAGCAGCCATGTGGAGACCCGTGCCAGCGCTGAGATGCTTACATGCTCACTGACTCAGCTTTCCTCCTACAGTGTGTGATTTGGGGAATTGAGGAGGACTCTGTAGACTAGTGTCAGACATATGGGCTAATGTTGGACTTATGGGCTTGGGCAGCACTGAGTTGAGATGCTTTCTTAATGTACACTTAACCTTTATATAAAACTCTCTTATAAATATGAGTTTCTGTGGATTTGTTTCCCTAGTTTACCGAGACTAACACACTGGGCAAAGGTATATGTAAGTATATATTAAATATGTGTTTAAGTATATGTATTCATGTACACACATGCACACACATAGTCACTAATTTATCACATCAAACTTCAATGATCTTAACATACATTCTTTTAATTGAATTGATTAATTTGAAAAATACTGAATAGACCATGAACTGCCAGAAGTCTGGATAACTCTGTTATCACAGGAAGTTTAGCCGGAATGCTCCTTGAGAAGCAAGAATGGCAAAACTTCATCTCCTGCACTTTGGACACATGTTATCAAGAGGGTCCAGGCCCTGAAGAAGAGTGTCATGCTGGGTAGAGTATCAGCCAAAAAAGAGAAAACCCCTCAACAAGATGGACTGACACAGT